GGTGTTGGGGCATCTGAAGTCTCCGTGAGAGGCTGGATACAAACTGGAGCTGACGAACGCTATTTACCTCGGGATTAGGGTCCCGAGATAACAGCAGAAAAGCAGATGGGAAATAATTAGCGTAGCTGCTGTTCATAATATTAATGCATTCGATCTGATTCAACAGTGGTATAAAAGGTAAGCATTATGTGAATGCTTGGCTGAAGAGATGCGTCTTTAATCTAGTTTTGAACTGGGAGAGCGAGTCTGAGCAACGAACAGTATCAGGAAGGCTATTCCAGAGTTTAGGAGCTAAATGTGAGAACGCCCTCCCTCCTTTAGTGGACTTAGATATCCTAGGAATGACCAGAAGCCTCGAATTTAGGGATCTTAAAGAACGCGATGGATTGTAGGGCGATAGAAGATCCATTAAATACACAGGAGCTAAACCATTTAGGGCTTTTTTCAGAATTGCAGTGTCCCGTACCTCTGCATTAACGTGTGATGTGTAGCAGAGTTCTGCACGGGTCCGATTTTGTAAATCCATACCCGCAGTGCTTAAAACCACATCCGACCCGTTTTCCGACAACAGCATTAATTAAAATCAGCACCTGACCCGACCCACTTAAAATAAAACCGAAACCCGACCCGCACCCGAAATAAAATCAGTTTAGCCTATCAGATTATAGACACACTTACAAAAATGTTTACCTTCAATTCTGTCCCCTTTGAAAAATAATGTTCGATAGAACTGCTTGGTTTGTTACCACAGTTATATGCGTGCCTCCTCAGCAGCGATGAAGTTCCACATTTGCGGCTATCCAACACGAAAACTTTAAGGCAGAGTTCTGAGAACTCCAAATTCCTCCCACACACTGGACTTGATTTTTGATGACGTATTGTCGACAACTTTACAATCTCCACTAGCTATTCTTTTCTTCAACTCCTCAGGATCCATCTCGATGACTGCAGGCAGATCGCGCGGTTGTGATTTTTTTTTTAAGTGAAAGTAGGCCTAGAGACTCCTGGGAGGGCGCGGGCACAAATAAACTGATATGTATTTTAAATTATTTTATCAACTTGAAATACAAGCATATTTTTGTAGATGTGTTCCTAAAAATATGCATATATTTTGACGTTTGCATGTGACTGTTTTAAACCCGTGTTTAGACCCGTGTTTCCCCCTTGTCCGACCCGCCCCTCACCCGTATCCGACACATTTGGATATTTTTCACCCGTTTCAGCAAAATTTGCGGGTCACCTGTCCGTGCAGGACTCTGTGTATGTGCGTCACATTACACAGTATGTTGAGACAGAGGCGCCAGAACTGCAACTGATAGAATGCACTGTAACACGATACTACGATATTTCTTTAAAAGCAGATTGTGGAGACATTTTAATCGTCCGCTATCAAAAATCATGATATCGCACACCCCTAGCTGACACTATGGGGAAATCACACCTTTTCTGTGTGAATACTGAAGCCCTATGAAAACTTGCAGACGAGAATTCGCCTGCCAATGGCGTACAAGCGCACAAAATAGAGGCGGGCTCCTCTGTTCTATAAGGCGCCGCTGAACGCCATTCCCTTCTTTCTCCTTCAGACAGATACACTGTCTTCAAGAAGCCATCTACAGCTCGCCTTTGAGGAATGCTCACCAGAGGACGGTGCCTGGATGGCCGCTCCCCTGTAGCGTTCCAGTAAGTATTTGATTTTTCTTTCAGATGACATCCGGACTACTGTTTTCTGCTTGAGCGTCGCCCTCTCAGAAACAGTGCTGCATGAGTCTGTCTGCTCTCTATCAGTGGTGGACCTCAAGGACTCCGGTGGTGAGTTCATGCCAACTAAGTGTCCGCGTTCCTCTCACCCAACCATTCCGGAAATAAACCTGGCTTCTCATGCTCCCTCCTCCGTGGTGGAGCTGCGAGCCGAGCGTGAAGACTACACTGCCCTACAAAGGCAAAAGACCTTAACTCGCTAGAGTGTGGAACTGAGAAAAAAGATTTTTAGATTTTTAAAGATTTTTAGTTGTCCCGCCGAATTAATTATAGGTAGGACACTGAAACTCTGGCAATTAGATGTTTAAGTAATGAAAATTATCTACATCATAAAATTTTGAGCTCAAACTTGACTTTTGACCACTATTTTAAAGTTACTGTACTCTGCCTTTGTATTGTCAGCAAAAAGTGAGAAGTCATGCAAAGGCAGTAACTTCCACATTATCAATATTTGGTTGCTGATCACCATTAACAAAATCATTATAGAACACCTGTATAAAATGTAGTGATCATGGCATTTATTTTGTATGATTTACAATTACCTAGCCTTCTAGTTATTGTGCTTTGGTTGCATTCTGGTGGCCCCATTAATACATTAGACATGACAAAATACCTCCATAGCGGTAAAGACTAAAGAGTATCTTCAAGTGGTACCGAATGGCATAAGACTTGCTAAACACGCGTTATAATGTAATGTGATGATCACGATAAAACAGATCCTCGCGCACATTCGACCCGGAGACTGGTTTATAGCGATGCGTGGATCTGAAAGACGCATACTTTCACAGGCGTTTTACCAAGATTCGTGTTCGAAGGTGTCACGCTCCGTTCACGAAAAGTAGCCTATGCATTGCTTGACCCCTTAGGACTCAGTAGAGCGCGTTCTGGACTACTTAGACGACTAATGCATTTATAGCACAACCTTCTGTGTTCTGCGTCTTTTCAGTATGCGTTGGTTTCAGCTGTCTGCCTTATTTTTGTGCGTGCACTTCGCTCGTCCCGCGGATTTATTCCGGACGCTGTGTTTTGTATGCATGCTTTTAACAGCTGTTCTGATGTTGTATGCACCAGCACTTCATTATGTGCTTCATTATGTTGTTTGCGCCCATATACCCTTGTTGCTTCATTATTATCACTCTGTGATATATTAGTCCCGCGTCGGCTCGACCGTGTAGGCGCCGGCGAAGTTTTGGCACTCTGCCAGCTAGATGCATGATTGTTTCAACTAGGTCCGGTACCCGAACTGGGTGAGGCGGGGCTTTAGTTTTTTGTTGTATTGACCTGCTTCGGCATGTGTAACATTTTTCTGTCAACTCTGCATATATCCTTCGCGGGTTAAGAGCATACTAAATGTTCTGACCGCATTAGTGCAGGACAAAGCTCTGAGGACATCAGAAGTTACAGGGACGGATGGTAGCTGTACAAAGTACACAGGCTACATCGTAATTTTAATGGAGAGTAAAACAAAGGCAGAACACCATATAAACTGATAGGTAGCATTTTTTGATAGAATTCCAGCACAGTAACTTCATATTGACGCGCGGCTAAACAAAGGCAGAGTGCCGTAACTCAATATGAGCGTTCCAAAACTAAGCCAAAGAGCCGTAACTGGTGTTACGGTGTTCTGCCTTGGTTTCTCATGGGCTTTTGGAAGTTACGGTTAAGACAAACCATTATTTTCTCGAAAAAACAACGTAATTGACTCAAGATACTTATCCACATGATAAAGGAGGTCTTGAATGTGCCAAAAATATCAATAACTCATTTTCAACCAAAAACGAAGTTACGGTCTTTTGCCTTTGCACGGCAGTACAGCTAAGGGTTCTCATCCCAGCACAGGTCCCACATGGCCCCTACTCTCGAAATGTGTAGCTCCCCACCTCAGAGCCGCGATCTGCCATGTAAAAAGCACAAATTGCTCCAGCTCCTCACTCATTCACGCATAAGCACCGGCTGTGCCGCTGTTTTTCAAATGGGTGTGTAGTGTTGCTTACACTAGCCAATGTATACATTGGTGCTGCAATCATTCATATAATGATGTTTTCAGCGCTCTTCCTCTGCACAGTGTTCTGTGCGACTTGTCTAGCTCTGCCTCAGCCCCTTGCATAGAGCCTGAGCTAGCTATGAAGATAACTCGTGGCCGAAACGCCATCTGTCCCCGACACGAGGAAAGTGCCTAGCATTGTACACGGGTCGACAGTAAAGTATAACCGCTCTCTTATTCCCATCACGGTTTTCCTGCCTATTGCAGGCATTGAGATCATTTGTTGTCTTTGTGCAATGGCTGTTCCGCTGTGTGGTGTGACAAAGCTAATAGACAGAATACAGAAGGTGCTTCTTTATCAGAACTCTTTTCTCTTGTACGATAAGCCCCTGCGGCAAGTATCATATAAAAAGCACAAAATGCTGCAGCCTTTGTCAGAATATAGGGAGGTGTGACATTATCTGCTGGGGCCTCCAAAGAGTTCTGGAAACAATACGAATGGGTACAAGATACATTTCTTCTGCCGGATGCCCCATTTTTAATGTCTGTTGTGCAAGCTCTAAAACGCCCCGGCGTTACGAATGCATTATCAGAACGCTCCCTGTTTGCAAAAAAACAGATCCTCTCGCAGTTTGGCCGGAGGACTATTTATCTCCGCGCATCTGGAGAATGCCTGCTTCCATATTCAGATCATCATGAGTGTTTCTGAGGTTGCTTTATGGGCACAGTGTTCCACTTCAGTCACTTCAAATGGACAAACTCTTTGTACATTCATTGAATGTTTGAACGCGGCTCTCTCCCCTCTAAAATTAATAGTTCATGTGCTAAATGATCTGGATGATTGACTGATCATGGTTCATTCAGAGAGTGTTTAACCACAGACTTCTGCTTCTCAACCACCCAGAATCCCCTGCTTAGGGAGTGGAGCTGGGTTTTATTTGCATGCCACCTTTCACAGGGGCTCTCCCAGTCTGTTATGTACACTCCCACTGAGTTCGAGCCGAGAAGCCTTGAGTTCTCAGGAAACACTCTGGCAGATCACACATTTGTCACAATTGACGGTTTTACATCAGTTTGGGTAACACACTGTCGCATAGCTGTGAACTTCGAAACAACAGCATTTCAAGTAACAAAATGACCAAAATCATGATATTGAACCACTTGAAATATAATATATACCAATGTTTTTCCAGTACCTGTATGCCGCACAACCCTACTGACGTGTATTGGTATAGTTCTACTTTTGTTCACTGTTTAGACACCAGACTACCAGGACATCATGTACCCTGCATGGACATTCTGGGAGGGAGGTCCTGCTGTATGGCCCATCTACCCCACTGGACTAGGCCGATGGGATCTCATGAGGGATGACCTGAAAAAGTTGGTAACAAAGTTAGAATATTTAAAGTCTCATTTCTTTTTAAAGTCTGATCTCATCCCAACATCTCAGTATATTATACAAATCCAGATTTAAGAATGCTTGAGAGTATACAGAGGATTAACTCCATTGTATTCATTTTAAGGCTATTAGATGTATTCTAATTTTTAGTTTACACTCTTCAGATCAGCTGCACGATGGCCCTGGAAGAAGAAAAGCCCAAAAGGATTCTTTAGAGGCTCTAGGTCTGTTGTGTCTCCATTATACAGTACAATGCAGAGTTGTTTTCAGCAAAGCTGATCAGTTTTTCCAATGTTTAAAGGACCAGTTCAGAGAGGGACCCTCTGATCCTTCTCTCAAGGGAAGCCCCTGACCTTGTGGATGCAGAGTACACCAAGAACCAGGCCTGGAAGTCAGAGAAGGTTTGTTTACTCTTTAATATACAAGGCATGTAAAATTAATCTAGATTATGTAGAATTAAGTTAAATTTGTGATGAAATGGAAGTAGCAAGAGATCTTGTGACAAACATTCGAGTGTTAAGGATTATCGGAAAAGAAAAAAAATGCAGGGCTTCTATTTATCGGTTGTTGGTTGGATTTTGAGATGTGGGCATTTTTACTCCAAAGTGGAGGCAGATGAACGTGAATTTGCTAGGACTGGTTTAAGAGAACAAAATTATTAGAAAAGTCCTGCATACGTCACCAGACAGATGTTATGACAAATGATTAAACTAGGGCTGCAACTAACGATTATTTTAATAATCGATTTATCTGTCGATTATTTTTTCGATTAATCGAATCGGATAAAAACAACTGAAAAACAAAAAAGCATTAATTTCCAACCCTTTATTCAAAAACAGAACTGACAGTGCAAATTCACAGTGCAAAAAATCTTTCAAAAAATCAGAAAGTGCACAAACGGGTTGCTCCTTGAACATTCCTGAGCTGTTAAAGGTGCATTGCGCAACATTTCATGTTAAAAATACCCGTTTTTCTAACCCATACATGCTTAAACAATTGCCTGATGGGCTGAATGAGCCCTTCTCTGATCACTGCGATTGCCTCTAATCTTGTACAGTAAAATAAATAAGAGGGATTCGGGAGGGAATTTGAGACTGGGCGTGACGGCATGCGCGTTCACGCTCACCTGGCTATGTCTGGCAGGTTTGTGTATTCGCCGCCATTCTCCGTATCAGCGAAGACAACTCGAGCGACAAAACTTTAGTCAACTTTCGACAAAAGTAGAAGATGGATTCTAAGAGACCGGCTTGTAGTTCATTTCAAACCCCAACGCAAACTCCACGTACGACAAAGAAAAGAAAACTTTTGTCTAGTGCCACCAAAAGGGCCAAATTGGAGTCAGACAGGCGTCGGAATAAGACGAGAGTCAACATCGGGAAGGCTTTCAACAAATGGAGAGATCTCCGGTCTGCTCTAGGGCTCAAACGGGATCCTCAGTTGGCTTAAAGTAATAACTTATATTGTTCATGAACGTGTTTCCATAATAATACAATCATACAGTAAACACATAACATGGAGATAGATAACTGTTCAACATGGAGATAGATGGAAACAAAAAACGAAGTTTTCTACTACCCCCGTTTTCCCCTCACACAATTTGTGTAAAGTGTAATTTACTCAAATGATTTTCCTTTCATATATTTAAAATGACTTGCAGATTTATAACTTTATTACCTCTGAAGACATTATGACTGTAAACAAAAGATTTGTGCGGCTGATGCTCCTTTGGTTATGAACAGCTCGTGCTCGTGCAAGCGTGCGTATGCGTGTGGTCCATGAGCCTGCACACCTCTGGTTGCAGTTTCGCTTGTCGCCAGAGGGGGCATAGTTCTGCAAAAACTCAGAGACTTGCGCAATGCACCTTTAAAGTAAAAAAAAAAAAAAAAATGGACTAACACAAAAAACATACACATGTATGCTTTACATATGCTTTTTTAAAAGCAAGTCCTCAAAAATATGTATATTTTTGTTTAAAGGGACCTGAGCTGTCAGAACAATAAATAATTTATAAAAAATAAAGAAAAATACAAATCAGAAAACTTAACAGGATTTGTTTGAACGTCAGAACTTGTTCTCTACACTACACTCACAGACGCACATGCTCACAAACTCTCACGACTCACACTCACAGACGAACACACTCACAGATGCAGACACTCACAAACTTGTGTTTTTTCTTTTTGTCAAATATGTTATTATCTTTAACAAAATGTTTGACATTTGACAAGCACATGCACACAAAAGACAAGTCTTGTGCAGTCGGATAATAGGTAATAATAATAGCAATAATAATAATTATAACAGAAGATAATATCTCTAGTCTATCCTAATATTAATTATAAATACAATGTATATAAAATATAAATGCAATATAAAATAATAAAAAAAACAAATACAATGGATTGACCACCTCATATGGTGTGTAAGGTAGGCCTATTTTGCAGCTCATCCTTTCCGAGGATATAGTGAAGTTTCTCTGAGTCATTTAGAGTTAAGAATGAAAAATTCAGGGCTGCAAATTTTGAAAAAAAAAAAAATAATTCCCTTGTAGTGGTACTTGGGACAGACAAGAAAGTGTTTTCATCTTCTGTCTATCTGATTCAAATCACAGTCTGCTAATTCAGTGGTAATAATTTAATTGTTGTTTTTATTTATATTGTTGTCATTTATCGAACTTCCGTGCCTCATATATAATAATTATATATTACTATGTACAATTTACTAATGCTCGGACACACTCGGTCTCTCTCGCGCACTGTCGCTCGCGCGCTGACACACTCGGTATCTTTCGCACACTGTCACTCGTGCGCAGACACACTCGGTCTCTTTCGTGCACAGACACACTCGGTCTCTTTCGTGCACAGACACACTCGGTCTCTTTCGTGCACAGACACACTCGGTCTCTTTCGTGCACAGACACACTCGGTCTCTTTCGTGCACAGACACACTCGGTCTCTTTCGTGCACAGACACACTCGGTCTCTTTCGTGCACAGACACACTCGGTCTCTTTCGTGCACAGACACACTCGGTCTCTTTCGTGCACAGACACACTCGGTCTCTTTCGTGCACAGACACACTCGGTCTCTTTCGTGCACAGACACACTCGGTCTCTTTCGTGCACAGACACACTCGGTCTCTTTCGTGCACAGACACACTCGGTCTCTTTCGTGCACAGACACACTCGGTCTCTTTCGTGCACAGACACACTCGGTCTCTTTCGTGCACAGACACACTCGGTCTCTTTCGTGCACAGACACACTCGGTCTCTTTCGTGCACAGACACACTCGGTCTCTTTCGTGCACAGACACACTCGGTCTCTTTCGTGCACAGACACACTCGGTCTCTTTCGTGCACAGACACACTCGGTCTCTTTCGTGCACAGACACACTCGGTCTCTTTCGTGCACAGACACACTCGGTCTCTTTCGTGCACTGACACACTCGGTCTCTTTCGCGCACTGTCGCTCGCGCGCAGACACACTCGGTCTCTCTCGCGCGCGGTGTCCAGTCCGGCGCCTCATAGCTCTGCTTCGCGCTCAACTCAACTTTTTTTTTGTACTCAAACATCTCCGCGACTTATTGATAGTCGCGTGACGCAACGAATCGATTATGAAATTCGTTGCCAACTTTTTTAATAATCGATTTTTATCGATTTAATCGATTCGTTGTTGCAGCCCTAGATTAAACATTATGAGGCCAAAACATGTGTAAAAATTAAAACATATGCATGGATAAATTGTTCACAATAAGATCAATAAAATGCATTTAGATTAGGGATGGGGCCGATCCGATCCAGTATCGGTATCGGGACCGATACCAGCGTAATTCACGTATCGGATTTTCCCGATCCAACCTGCGGAGATATCCGATTTCCATGAGCCATGTCTGCGCTTTAACGTTATCTGCTGAAATGACTCCAAATGTGATTCCCGCCGGCTAGTCTGCTAGCTGGCTGCAAACTGTGGAATGGATTTCCTGAACGGAGGCGCGACTCAATGAGACAGAGTTATGAGACACGCCTCCGCTCAGGAAATCCATTCCGCAGTTTGCAGCCAGCTAGCAGGAAAGCATTGAGCAGCATTATGTCCGCTGTGTGGAAATACTTCACACTGGAAACACCGCAGAGCAAGACAGCAAAATGCAATGCCGTAATTCAGAGAGGTGGAAGCTCCCTCACGTCGGTCAACACAACGAACGCAATCAAACATTTAAAAAAGCACCACGTTAAAGAGCACGAGGATTTTTTAGCCAGGGGGCAGAAAGACAACGGGAGCAGTTTTATTGATAGAGAGAGAGTGTGTGTGTGTGTGTGTGTGTGTGTGTGTGTGTGTGTGTGTGTGTGTGTGTGTGTGTGTGTTGCACACTGAGTCTGAAATTCGCGTCTGAAATTTTCGCACGTTAAAAAATAAATACGACCTCACGTTGTGTCAATCACGCTTGCACACTGCCACTGAAACTTTCGTCCGTCAAAAAAAAAAATCAAATCGGGTTCGATTTTCTGCGTTTTTTGCATCCGTAGTAAGCATTTTGAATGGAGTTTGAATGGTGTTTTGACAATTCAGAGCCACCGAATCACGAATACGAAAAGACGCATACGAAAATTTCGCACTTGTTGTGCGAGGGCCTTGAGTCCGAAAATTTCGAATGCGTTTTTCTGTATTCGTGATTCGGTGGCTCTGAATTGTCAAAACACCATTCAAACTGCTTGCTACGGATGCGAAAAACGCAGAAAATCGAACCCGATCCGATTTTTTTTATGACGGACGAAAGTTTCGGAGGCAGTGTGCAAGCGTGATTGACATAACGTGAGGTCGTATTTATTTTTTAACATGCGAAAATTTCGGACGCGAATTTCGGACTCAGTGTGCAAGGGCCTTCAGTGTGCAAGGGCCTTAAGATGTTTACAGTTATTGCACTTTTCTTATATTTCTAATATTTGACATTTTAAAACCTTGATTTGTTGATGCTACAAGAGCCAGTGTAATTGATTTGTGCTGTTCAGATGCACACTGTTTTATTGATAGTGTGTGTATGTAAGATGTTTACACTTGCACTTTTCTTATATTTCAAGACTCAAGTATTTGACATTTTGGGAATGTAATAAATATTGACATGACAACCAATTTGAAACCCTTACAGTTGCATATTTGTTTTCAGAATGGGATTTTTCCTGTTAACAGGATTTCCTGTTTTCAGGGATTAAAGTTCTCCGTCGCTACGACGGATTTCCGTTAATTGCAGCGAGTCTATGACGGATATCCATCAATTGCTGGGTTCCCGTCTGTCCTTATGTCTTAAATTAACTTTTCATAATTTTAAGGCCGTAAATAGGCTTTCATTTCGCAAACAGTGTGATAAATGTCTTAATTTTAGTTTGAATAGGTCTTAAATTAAGGAAAGATGATGCGTATTCACCCTGCTGAGGGGGGATGTGATAAAGCCTGGAGTGGAGCAAAAGCACGTTCCTCTCTCCACTCTAAGCATTCTGTAATCACTTTGCTCATGGTCCACTCCGGTTTTTCAATTCCCGCTCACGGAAAAACTGCTCCCTGGACCCTGTTCACTCAATCTTGTCAGGCGAGGCTACAGCTCGTTTGCTGCGGTCCCATGATAGAAAACAGAACGCGGGTCAATATTGGTCGTTTCTCAATACCAAGTACGCAAACTTCGGACTTGCGTCCTTGGTAGTTCGGACTTGCCAAGTTCGACTCAGGAGAACAAATTCCCGAGGACGAGAGGACGCTGCTAACAGCGCGTTCTTGATCGCGTCACTCAGCACGCGGCTACTCCGGTTATCAACTCTGCCTTTTTTCATCAACACCACTGTGCCTCTTTTCTTTTATAAATGAACATAATTATTATCATAAACATATAAATGGCCACACAAATGTGGTTCAGGCAACGCACATTGATTTATCATATAGTTATAACAACACGAAATATAGCTAAAACACAAACCTGCTTCTTTTTGTTTTCATTTTAAAAATATGAAACCTTATTTATCATTAAAACTGACATTTAACAAACAGACAGGGTTGTATCGTTTTATTGTATTATGCGTACACATACAGTGAAGAGAATGCATAGTAATATAATATTTTATATATTTTAGAATATATAAAATTACACAACCATGTCTCTTTTTTGTTAAATGTCAGTTTTAATGCTAATATCCCGTTCAAAAGTAGTAGCCTAATAGGTAGGCTATAATAAGCTATACAATGAGAAATAAAGCAAACAATTCAATTAAACATAAGTCAGCTCTGTAATAGGCTACAAAGTTAAAGTTAAATATAGCCTACATAATAAAGTTATAAAACTTCACTTTGCCCTCAGCCAAAACAATTTGCATTGTTTGGTCTCATAAGATAAATAAAAACATGCACTGAAAAGTTATGTAGATGGTTGATTATTTGTCAAGATAAGTAATTGTTTTTCATAGATTAAAATAGCTTTTAAATTACTCAATATTAGATCGGTTTTAAACATCTTCCCTTAAAACGCTATTGGTCTCGACTATTTAAATAAAGTTACAGGAATATGACTTGGCCTGAAAAAAATTTCAGTCAGAAGAATTTTTTTCACTTTAATCCCTGTGTTTTTCTGACTTCCTTTTCTGACCTTATACTTACCTAAAGTTGCCTTTTGGGACATACATGCATACATACGTACATATCATACTTGCCTGTTGAGAGAAGTTTATTTCAGCATCATATAAAATCAACAATAATGATGATAATAATATTAAAGCAAACATAGCTCTGGTATCGGAATAGAATCGGTATCGGCCGATATCCAAATTCAGGGATCGGATCGGAAGTGAAAAAATGTGGATCGGTGCATCCCTAATTTAGATAATAGATTTTTACTCAATGGTTGGCATGACATGAAAAATTTGTATTAAGCCATGTACAGGGGCCTACAAGGACAGGCTTGGCAAACACTAATCTAGACTAAGCTCCAAAAGCTTTAATATTTTCTGCGAAATCAAATATATGTTTTTGCCCTTTTGTTATTTTTGAACTTCTGTTTTTTTTTGTTTTTTTTAGGACACTCTGGGTAGACCCCCGGCGAAGGAAATTCCCCTAGTTGAACACTGTGAATACAAGTATGATCAGCCTCATTTCTGCTTTTGCAAGAGCTGTAGCACTGAATCAGATGTCTGTCCATGAACCAGCATTTAAGATATTCTGTTAAAGATTGTCTGTTCTCTTGATCTCTCTCAGATACCTCTTTAACTTCAGAGGTGTTGCTGCTAGTTTCCGTTTGAAGCATCTGTTCCTGTGTGGCTCACTGGTTTTTCACGTCGGGGAAGAGTGGCTTGAGTTCTTCTACTCTCAGCTCAAACCCTGGGTTCACTACATCCCTGTCAAACAGGACTTGTCTGACCTCAGGTAACTTAAACATGTTACTCAGGCTAGCTGATATCCAACTTTTCCTTAACATACAATTTCCTTTTGTGCCTACTGTGATAATTGTTCAATGTGTTTTACATTCACATGGCTTTAATTCTATTAGTTGATTGAAGAGAAGTTTGTTGTTTTTGCAGAATAAACTTAAAACACCCAAAATGCTAATTTTTCAACAATGAATGTGATGACTTTTCACTAATTATATATTACAAATGAACAAAAACAACTAAATCCATTCATTTGGAACTGAAAATAACAGTATTACACACAAATACAAAGTTCCATTTCAGCACACTGGGCTTTACGTAAAGTCCTTCGATAAAACAACCACAAGGTTTTACTTTATAAAAAAGCAAATCTGTCTTAAAGTGAAATATGTGACGTGAGCAGACCTAGCCCAAAGGGTTCAACTCTAAATTAATGCTCAAAATATTTTGCATTTCAAAGTACACTCACCTAAAGGATTATTAGGAACACCATACTAATACTGTGTTTGACCCCCTTTCGCCTTCAGAACTGCCTTAAAGGGATAGTTCACTTTGAAATTAATTTTTGGTATGTTTTAGCTTACCTCAAGGGCATCCAAGATGTAGGTGTCTTTGTTTCCGCGGTAGTTTCAATTTTGTTATTTTTAGGTCAAACCGTTCTTGTCTGTCAGTCATATAATGCAGGTCTATGATCACCACCTCAAAGAGCATGCACAGAGAAGTCCAAATTAAACATGATTTAAACGCAAGTACACATTGATGGCCGGAAAGCGGCGGAAGTGATCTCTCTGAAAAAATTCAATGTTGTCTGTTGATTTATCGAAATCGTCTTCCATTTCGATTTCCTGTATATCTAAATATGTTTAGATCTTCACGGTGAAAGGTAACACTTCCGAAATCTCTGTGTAAACAATGAGTGACGTACACGCGCGAGAGATCACTTCCGGCCGGCGCTTGCGCAGACCGAAGCGCCTGCGCCCTCAGATCACTTGGACGTGGCTGTGGTTACAAGAGGTAAAAACGATATAAATACTGTTCGTTTTCTCACACAAACCGCTCGTTTCGTGTCTTAGGCCATCAATGTGTACTTACATTTACGAGTCATTAAATCATGTTTAATTTGGACTTCTCTGTGCATGCTCTTTGAGGTGGTGACCATAGACCTGCATTATATGACTGACAGACAAGAACGGTTTGACCTAAAAATATCAAAATTGAAACTACTGCGGAAACAAAGACACCTACATCTTGGATGCCCTTGAGGCAAGCTAAAACATTCCAAAAATTAATTTCAAAGTGAACTATCCCTTTAATTCTACGTGGCATTGATTCAACAAGGTGCTGAAAGCATTCTTTAGAAATGTTGGCCCATATTGATAGGATAGCATCTTGCGGTTGATGGAGATTTGTGGGATGCACATCCAGGGCACGAAGATCCCGTTCCACCACATCCCAAAGATGCTCTATTGGGTTGAGATCTGGTGACTGTGGGGGCCATTTTAGTACAGTGAACTCATTGTCATGTTCAAGAAACCAATGTGAAATGATTCGAGCTTTGTGACATGGTGCATTATCCTGCTGGAAGGGATAAAGGGATGGACATGGTCAGAAACAATGCTCAGGTAGGCCGTGGCATTTAAACGATGCCCAATTGGCACTAAGGGGCCTAAAGTGTGCCAAGAAAACATCCCCCACACCATTACACCACCATCACCAGCCTGCACAGTGGTAACAAGGCATGATGGATCCATGTTCTCATTCTGTTTACGCCAAATTCTGACTCTACCATCTGAATGTCTCAACAGAAATCGAGACTCATCAGACCAGGGAACATTTTTCCAGTCTTCAACTGTCCAATTTTGGTGAGCTCTTGCAAATTGTAGCCTCTTTTTCCTTTTTGTAGTGGAGATGAGTGGTGCCCGGTAGGGTCTTCTGCTGTTGTTGCCCATCCGCCTCAAGGTTGTGCGTGTTGTGGCTTCACAAATGCTTTGCTGCATACCTCGGTTGTAACGAGTGGTTATTTCAGTCAAAGTTGCTCTTCTATCAGCTTAAATCAGTCGGCCCATTCTCCTCTGACCTCTAGCATCAACAAGGCATTTTCGCCCACAGGACTGCCGCATAGTGGATGTTTTTCCCTTTTCACACCATTCTTTGTAAACCCTAGAAATGGTTGTGCGTGAGAATCCCAGTAACTGAGCAGATTGTGAAATACTCAGACCGGCCTGTCTGGCACCAACAACCATGCCACACTCAAAATTGCTTAAATCACCTTTCTTTCCCATTCTGACATTCAGTTTGGAGTTCAGGAGATTGTCTTGACCAGGACCACACCCCTAAATGCATTGAAGCAACTGCCATGTGATTGGTTGATTAGATAATTGCATTAATGAGAAATTGAACAGGTGTTCCTAATAATCCTTTAGGTGAGTGTATGTTATGGCCATATTTTTGTATCAAATTAAATGAGTCAAAGTGCCAATTTTTGAAAATGTTGAAAGTCTATTATTAGGCGGATATATGTAATCTGTGTATAGCATCTTAAGCTGAAAATGGTGTCATTGTTTATTCACTCACATTTTGTTCCTGACCTGTTGAAGAAATGTAATTATCATCAGACAAACAAGGGAATTGAGTGAAATATTATTCATAGAAATGTCACTGAGAACACCAGCAGAGAACTGCCTCTTTTCTTTACATGTTATGTAAATGTCAATGTCATGTTATGTAAGTACTGGACAATTGGATTTATTTATTTATTTATTGATTGATTGTTTGTTAGAGAGCTGCTTCAGTTTGTGAAAGAAAATGATGCAGTGGCAGAAGAAATTGCTTTGAGGTAACAATTTAAGCCTTTTAATTAGAGGTCGACCGATTAATCGGTCGGACGAATAATCGGCCGATTTTTTGCATTTTTTTACATAATCGGCATCGGCCAATATCCAAGTATATCAAGCCGATTATTAGGCAGGCGCATCTGTGGGCAGCCTAGTGTTGTCGTGGAACACGTGTTTGACGCGCGCTGCCGCTTGAGTCATTTTCCAGCCGAGTGAGCAGACCTCATACAGTGCCTAAGGCAGGAGCTAACTAAGTGCTTTGGAGAAAACGATAAGGATTCAATTCTTATAACTCCTTTATATTTAATTAAAAACTTTTGATATGTTACTGCCAACTTCGAGAAAAAACCTGAATAAGCGACACGACATTCGGCTACTTTGGATCGTAGTTGAAGTTGCATTATCACAGTAGAAGAGTTGCGATCATGTCACAATAAGTAAGCAATAATTTTGCAATTACAGAGTGAATCTGAGACTTTTATTTGTTCTGTTTGTGTGGCATTTGAGAGGGTTGTCACTCAATGCAGAGAAATAAGTAACGATGATATCAACCGCACCGAATATCAACACGGATTTCTGTGCTTCAGTTCGGTGCTACTGTTATGCCAGTGCTTCTCTTGGATGCTCAGAAAACGGACGTTAGAATAACAGAAACATCGCTTTGCTGCACATGACGCTAGTCAGCAGCGAATTTGATCATACCGTTAGTTAGTAGCTGGATTAAACATGGTTAAAATGCTGGCCAAACAGTGTAAAGTGTGACTGTATTTCACTGTAGACTAAAAGGTCCAACAGCGGGATGCCGTTGTCTGAAGAACAACAGACGGACGGTGCGTTGTGGGCATTTAAAGTTTTTGTAAAATATAATTTTCCCATCTGGTGGTTGTTTTTGTCGTTCAACAGCAATTTACTAGTGAAATACGTTATTGTTATAAGTTAAATAAAATAAAATATAATAAACCTTATATATAAAAAAAGTTTTTTTCCCCTTTTTGTGATAATTAGGTTATGTTCATTTGGCTTTGTCCGTCAACAAACAAAACAAACAAACCAAAAATACAGCTCATGTTTCAGGACAGTTTTTGGGAAGAGGATAGAAATGTTTTTAGCCTTGTATTACTTACAATGCACTGACATTATACATTTTTAATTTAAGTGTACAAGTGCAGATTGTTCATTGTTCAAGTGTTCAATAAATGTTTTTGAGAAATTTTGTCTATATTAATTAATTATTATTTCTGTTACATTTTATCTTTCAAATAGAGGTTAAAAACAAGCACATATCGGCCAAATATCGGCCAAAATAAATCGGCAGCATTAATCGGCCATCGGCCGACCCAGATTTCAAAAGATCGGCATCGGCCTGAAAAAAAAACATATCGGTCGACCTCTACTTTTAATGATTTTATTCTGTCAATGGTTTGTCAGGCATATACAGCTTTAAAGGGATAGTTCACCAAAATCATTTACTCACCCTCATGTTGTTCCAACCCTGTATTTTCTTTTTCTTCTGTGGAAAATAAAAGAAGATATTCGTTTAGTTACCAACATTCTTAAAAATATCTTCTTTTGTTTTCTGCAGAAGAAAAAAGTGTGAACAGGTTCGGAAGGATGTGAGGATGAGTAAATGACACAATTGTCATTTTTGTCTGACCTATCCTTTTAAAACATTGTCTGTGCAAATACTTATAATGATATTTTTGGCTCTGTATTTCTTTAGGGGCCAGCACTTTATTCTGGAACATCTCCGTATGGAGGATGTGTCTTGTTACTGGGAGAGATTGCTCACTGACTTCAGCAAGCTGCTCAAATACAAACCTAAGAGAAAATCAAACTACAATCAGATCTTTCACAGAGCCAGCCGATCAGAACTCTGACTTGAAGAAATGAATCCTGCCAAATGTCTCTCAGACTATCGATATTGCTCTAAAGGTTAAGACTCAAGTAAAATCAATTAAACATGTGCTTTAAGCTACCATATAGCAATCTACATATTTAAAAGAGAGAAAAGACCCTTATCCTCTGGATGTCAGCAATATTGCACACCTGAAATATGCTTGGAATATCCTTTGTGTCTTCATAGCATTCAGCAGTCTCAACACAACTTCTTAAGGTCATACATAGTCGGTTTGAGGTATGTAGAAGTCTGTTACAGCTGCAATACACTAAAAAAATAATTGATTGTGAAACGGTATAACATACAACAACCTGCCAAAAAAGTTTCTTAAAAATTAACTGTTTCATCATGGCCTTGGTGTAAGTTGTTGGGGTTTTTACAGTACTGTACACTTCTCTTCCCTCATAATCAAAGTGACTCAACATGATCAACAAGTGAGAGATATTTTTTCAGCACACACTTTTTTTCCCTGTCAGATGTTTTATTAGTTTGTAGATATTTTTCAATTGCAGATTTATGTGGTTACTATAGATAGGGGTTACAATCGTCTACCATCATTTTTAGAGGTAGCATAAAGGACCAGTTATTTAAAGAGTAAAAACTGGAGCCAGTTCAAAACATCCTGTAACATAAGACAACTTCCAATACATTTTTTTTTACATGAAACAGTCAATAGATTACTTTGAACCAGTGCAGAATGTATTTTTTTTGTTGTGAAAAGGAATCTCCAGGTCCAGATTATTAGTATTTTTGGATCTTACCAAGTTTTCTAAATTTTTTATAGGAATGTAACATGTCCTCTGTCACTATCAATGAAACAATACCAGCAAAATCTCAGTACAACAGTATTAGGTGTATTTATTCAACACTTAATTGCCACTAAAGGAACTTGAATGTAAAACAGTGTAATAGAGCCAAATTGATACTGAGGTGTTGAATATGCTCGAGTTTTGCTGTGGATAATTTTCTGTAGATTTTAAATTGTTTTCAGTCATTTTTGTATGTCACCCAGATCAGGGGCGTCATGCAAGCCAAAATTCTGGGGGGGCACAATCTGAGACGTTGCAATTGTTTTCTGACGGGTGATATGGATCATGTTAGGGGTCAGGGGGTTTCTCCCCCTGCAAATTTTTTAATTCTGGCTGCGAAACATACTATTTCAATGCAGTTTGGGAGGGACAGAAATACCTTAACGGAGCTAGCAGCAACCCTCCTCTATCTGAGGACTAAGTTAAAGTATATGTGTATCTTATATGTGCATTATAAGATGTTTTGAAGGCCAAAAAAACTCCTAAAGTTGAGCTTTGACTGATAGGCTTTTCATTTTTGTCTGTCAGTGAAGAAAGTAAACATAGGGTCAACTGATAGGTTGATTTATGAATCATTTTCTCAGACGAATTTATTTACTGAAAGCTACTAGGAAAGCTAGGTAGCCTAACTAAGTTTATTAAATTCATTCACAGTACACATTCATTATTGATCTTATGCCTAATACAGGGCCGTAGACAGGGCTTTATAATCACAGAGGTCCTAAATTTGAGGTGGGTAGGGGGTTCAAATTTCTTTATTTCTCTGATATGTGCATTTCAAGACGTTTGAAGGCCAAAAAAAGGATAAGAAATAGCTTTAAAAACATGTCAGTGGGCAGATTATTTGGCAATACCTGCTCTCACTTCTTATCCATCACTCTTTCTTTTTCTCTCAGTCTCCTGATCTTGCCTTCCCCTCCTAAAGCTGAGCTTTTTTAATTTACTTAAGGCTACAAATTGTACTATATTAATTCTCAATATGTACACATTCTTTATTAATCTTGTGCCTAACAATGAAAACGTCTTTTCCCCTCAAAATCACAGTAAACTAATTATTAGCCTACATTACGAGTCACGTTACATAGGCCTATTTTCAGTTCAAAATGGCGAAATTAGACAAAAGTATATTCGTGTGCCTGATTATTTTTGTCATTCGTTTAACATTTATGAACTAAAAAAACTGTCAAATATGAAATGTTTAGTTTAGCTACTTACATCTCGCACTTGACTGTACACTGAAGCGTCGAGCCTCACTGCTAAAATTCGCGCTCAGCTTCTGTGAACATAAAGCCCGCCTACTTTGATTTGATTGGTCATCTCAAATATTCTGACATTGACGAGCAGTGACAGACCAATGAGGCTCAGATGAACACGCACGCACACACACACACACACACACTGTCATCTGTTTCTGACGTGCGCTCTGCTCGGCACCGCTGCGGATTGAAGATGAACAACGCGCTGAATCTGATTATAACAAGACTGAAGTAATAAAAAATTATCAGGGAGGAAAAATCTGAGGGGGCACGTGCCCCCTCACTTTGAATGGGCATGACGCCACTGACCCAGATCTAGTGTGGAGCAGACAGTCAAACTCACTTGTGCCAATAAAGGTAATCATCACCAATAAAAGTTGTTTTTTAAATCATATATATTCCTTTTTCTATTTTGAATGTTTTGTTTATTTGATTTTGGCAATAATTGAAGATCCAGAAATGGAGTTAAGTTTCTTCGAATTCGAGTGCATTTAGAACACCATTTTATAATATTTGGCATTTGAAAACATGTAGGTAACCCCTGAATAAAAAGACATTTGAAAGATCTTTTTCGAGCAAAACTGGGCAAACGTTTTATTTCACACGATGAATTGTTTTAGTGTGTACTATTTGAGTTGGGTCCTCCACCACCAGATGGAGCAACCGGACCATTGTGTAAGGAAGACTGTGAACGTCATCTTGACATTGTAATGGTCGCCGAAGAAGCGTTGAATGAAACAAGGTAAGATGTCGGATTTTGTGGCATTTAGTCTAGATTCTAGAACTGGATTAATTTATGCTAATTTATCATCAATGTCATGCTGAAAATACTTATAGTCAACTCTCTTTGTGGAAGAGAATGCACGACTAGAATTCTACTTAGAATGTAAAATATAATTTGATACTCGTTTAAAGCATTCACACTGCGCCGACAATCACCAGATTAAAGTAAATTACGTAATTTCTCAGACATTCCTGAACGGCGCTGAACACCGCGCCAACAGACACTTAGCTGCTATTCTGGTTTTGTCGGATCTGTGTGTTTGTCATAGGTTTGTTACCCCTGTCGTAGGCTTTTTGCGTCTTTCGGAGCTTGTTTTCAAGTGACGTGTTGTAACGTTAATCCCGACGTGGGTCTGCGTCTGACGGTGTATTATGAATTGGCAATTTTATACATGCTTCTCTGCTCTTGTTTAGAATTTTGTGTTCGACTTTTTGCCTACCTCCAAAGTAGCGTTCATATTGTCTTTTTACGGTTTAATGATTTGATTTGAGTGCATTGTGGCCAAGGACGTGGGAACTCCAACTCTCAATTAAAAGTCACGGGCAGTTTTTTTCCCCCCAGTAACAGACCCTTTATTCCTCTGTGATGCAAAAACTCTTGTTGACAGCTGCGTTGCTTCAGGTGTTAAAATGAAGCCTGTCTGAATGATTCTCTGTCATAACCATAGGGCATGCATGTCAGTGTGGATGAAAGTGCATAAACATGATCTCATATACCTCTGGCCTTGTTTCTCTCATTCATTGACAGCTTGTTGATGTGTACCGCACGGCGGCAGGATTTATGTGGGGGGACAGATGCAAATGGACCTGGGGGCTCACATCTGGGTCCTCTCGAGGCTCTTCTTGGGCTCACTCTTCCTCGTGTGTATGCGGCTGATAGTACCTCTGCACAGGTACTATCCACACCACAACACATAGGCAAGCCAGAGTTCCCTGACACAGGATGGGACCGCATCAAAGATCTTTTTAGCAGGGGGTGAGTATTAGTAATGTGTTCGTAATTCATCAACACAGGGTTGTAGTATTTATCATTTAAATGTCTGCATGATAAACTTCCCTTCCCTTTGGCAGCGACATCTCGGCTGCGACTGAAATCTCATTCTCTCTTGAGTTGGTACTTATTTTGAAAAAGTAATTCATGACCACATACAAAATACATTCTATATAGTGGGAATGTGTGAAGAATGACCATAATCTGGGCGTACTGCATTTGCCATGTCATTATCATGTGACCTACCAGCATCAATTACATCGCTTTAAGGCTGGAATACACTACATGACTTTTAAAATCTGAACAGATTTTTAAACGGCAGGCATCATACACTTGTCGACTTTTGTAAATGGTTAGAGAGAAAAGCTGGGCATCATACACTACACGACTGAGGATCATACACGACTACACTACAATACACTAAACAGAAACCGTGACGCATTCTTCTGATTTTTCCATATTAATAAGGATTATAAATTGATCTGGATGGTATGGTTTTCCTTCTTATTTTTTTACTTTACCCATTCTCGCAAGTCGTCTCTTTTTCTCTATCTTTATGACTTCGCACCCTTGATTTCCATTGTCTGGTCAGCGTATTATGACTGTATTATGTACAGTATTTATTAGCGATGCATCACACACTATATGTGTTCTAAAATCGGCTCAAAATATCGAAAATGTTTTGATGTCCTCCGACTGGATGGAATCAAAGTCTGAAGCTAAAAAATCGGAGTCTGTGCCCATCATACACTACGTGATATTCTGTCAACTCCGAACGCACAAAATCTGCAGGCTGGCACAGACATTTGGCAACTACTGCCGACTCACCCAGATCTCAAATCGGGGCAAAAATCTGAGCAAAAGTCGTGTAGTGTATTCCAGCCTTTACTGCCATTCATTAAACCTCTCCCGTGGCCTCAATCGTATGCACACTTCAAAATCTCGCTGGACGTAGTAGGTCAACCGGGTACTTTTTGCCTACTCTTTTATGATTACTGTGAATTCGGACATACTTTTTGTCACATACTGTTTTTCGCCTACTATATATTAGGGAGGTATACGATTGCGGATGCTCATCTCTTCTCAACCTGCCACCCACATGAGATCAGCAACAGCAAATGACAACGATTCCTGACAACAATTCCTGATGGACAAAATCAAATCCCAACAATCTTTTCTTGTTCAAAAAGCCCTTACACCCGAATATACGTCACAATAGGCAAGACAAGGCTATTGCTGCTTCTGTTTCATGTCGCAACTGTGTTTATATATTTTATATATATATATGTACTTTAAATATCAGTTTCAAAATCATTCTAATGGTACATTGACTTCTAATAAGGCCAGAGGCTCCCCCAAAAAATCTGTTCTGGTAGTGTGTACCATTAGAATGATTTTAGGGAGGTACGTATGTAAATTCAGTGAAAAGGGTGGATAGTTTTATACCTTATTCACATAATACCATATTGGTGTTGACCCTTTCTCACACAGTTTTGTAGTTTGTGCGGCATGTCAATAGTCATCTTACAGTCCCGTCTCAAGATATCATGCAAATAAATTCATCTCATTTGCAGGTAAGCTTCGAAAGTTTGCAGCCTTGCAAACCTATCTGCTAACTTGTAATATTCTATACTGTCAAATGTATATTATGTGCAATGTGGCCTATCGTGTCGCCAACATTTGATTACAATCATACAAGCATACTCTTAGCACACAATGTATATGTGAAAACAATGGCAGTATTTCAGCAAAACTAAACATTTCTGTCATTCCTGTTATTATTTTTGTTATGGTGTAATACCTTATCAGTCAATGTGGTTCTTTTTGGCTTTTGAAATCATTTAGCTTGTCAACAAATTCATGTTTACCGCTATCCACTAACGACAGTAGTATAATTATGACTGAATTCCTCTCACTTAAAGGAGTAGTTTCACTTTAAAATGAAAATTAGCCCATGATTTACTGACCCTCAAGCCATCCTAGGTGAATACGACTTTCTTCTTTTAGACGAATACAATCGGAGTTATATTAATAAACACCCTGACGCTTCCGAGCTTTATAATGGCAGTGGATTGCAACCATCAGATTGAAGCTCAAAAAAGTGTATCCATCCATCCATTATAAAAGAACTCCACACAGCTTCGGGGGGTTAATAAAGGCCTTCTGAAGCAAAGCGATGAGTTTGTGTAAGAAAAATATTCATATTTAAAGGGATACTCCACCAGTTTTTCTTATTAAACTATGTTATTCCCTTAACTAAGTCGAGTTGATACATACCTCTCTCGTCTCAGTGCGTGCACTATATCGCTCTGTATTGCCGCAAAACTATGTTAGCACTTAGCTTAGCCCATGCATTAAATATGGGCCAAGCAGAGAAGCGACCAAACACTTCCACGTTTTCCCTATGTAAACACAGTTACTCGAGTAGTGTAACTTGACCTGGGCTGGTGACACAAAATAAACCGTTGCGCTTTTCTAAGCGTTTAAAATTGATGACTATATTGTATGGCGGAATACCATAACAAGTGCTTTTGAGCACTTCGACTTGGCGCAATAATATCTTCACTCGTGAAAAGTCCCGGCTCCCGCTTCCTCTCCCCCTCCCTCTCATTTCCGTCAATACAACCAACGTGACATGCGCCGGTAGTAGTAGTTTGAGCGGAGTTGACGAAGTAACAGGTTGTTGGAAGCTAGTTTGTATACAATCATGGTTAAAACGTGCATCGTAAAGGGTTGTGAAAATAAGGAGAATGTACATAGTGCTGTCATTTTTCACCGAATTCCAACACACCACATACAGCGGAGAGCTTGGTTAGCTGCTTTCGGGAAAGCTCCGGTCTGTTCTGGATCATATCTTTCCCTCTCACGGTCCATAAGAGCTAATTCCTCCTCTGTGTACTCGGGTTCAAACAGATATGGCTCTGGGTCTTCTACAAAGAAGTCATAATCATCTACAAAGTCCGCCATTGCAAATGATCTGCAGTTTGCTAATAGCACAGCACAGGTAGTAAAAGTCACGTTGGTTGTATTGACGGAAATGTCAGAGGGAGGGGGAGAGGAAGCGGGAGCCGGGACTTTTCACGAGTGAAGATATTATTGCGCCAAGTCGAAGTGCTCAAAAGCACTTGTTATGGTATTCCGCCATACAATATAGTCATCAATTTTAAACGCTTAGAAAAGCGCAACGGTTTATTTTGTGTCACCAGCCCAGGTCAAGTTACACTACTCGAGTAACTGTGTTTACATAGGGAAAACGTGGAAGTGTTTGGTCGCTTCTCTGCTTGGCCCATATTTAATGCATGGGCTAAGCTAAGTGCTAACATAGTTTTGCGGCAATACAGAGCGATATAGTGCACGCACTGAGACGAGAGAGGTATGTATCAACTCGTCTTAGTTAAGGGAATAACATAGTTTAATACGAAAAACTGGTGGAGTATCCCTTTAACACGCTACAAAGTAAAATTCTAGCTTCCGGCCAAATGGCCATACGCCCATGTACTTGCGTATAAAGCGCAACTTACTTACTTTAAACTTAGCGTAGCGTGTCATGGCGTAGCGTAAATATCAGCAGTACGTTGCATTACTCTAATAAGTTGCGTTTTACACTTAAGTCGAGTCAGTATGTTCGTTTGGCCAGAAATTCATATACACCTAGGATGTCTTGAGGGTGAGTAAATGGGCTAATTTTCATTTTAAAGTGCAGTCAGTAACTTTTTTTTGTGTTCAAAATGTATATAATAAACATTTTTAAATCATTTTCCTAACCGTGTTTTTGTCTTATCCTGAATCACCACGGTACACCTATAAAGTGTTTATATTCAGACTATTTTAGACTGGTACCACTGCGGAGTAGCCCAGTACCTGTGTGGCTCGTCATAGACCTAAACAGAGAGAAGTAGCTCAGACTACAATGTTCTTCCGCAAGACGCATGCGGTTCTGTTAATTAAGAGTGCCAATAGTTATGCAGCTTTAACTATAGGGGGCTTTTTAAGTCACAAAAATACACAAAACTGCATACAGTTGCTTTAAATGTGTATTTCTTTACCTTTCACTGGCCACATTTGAATTGTGATAAGAATATTTCTTTCACAATTAACTAAGCACATTCCATGTCAAATTCTCTAAATTTCAAGAACTTCTCAAGACTAAAAGTTTGATTTTTTTTTTTTTTTTTTTTGAAGAAATATGGTGATGAAAGCCAAAATATAAAATACCATAAATTAACATTTGCTAATTAATCCACAATTTTGTAGAGGGGGGTCAAAATGATACTTTTCACTTTACAGGAAAATTATTATCCTGCCAAATTACAGGAGTAGGAAAATAACCTAAAGTATAATAACCTAAATATAATTATTTTATAACATAACTTTGCATGTCTAACCCAATGAGTATTAGATATCTTAGATATTTAGATATTAGATTCTAAGATATATTAATATCCTTTTAGATGTTGGTTTTTAATCAATGTTTAATTTGGAATCTTCATTTTTAAGGCCCTCAATGGTGCAATTTCAGAAATATGGTGATATCAGTGAGTAAATTGTACACATTTTCATTGGTCAAAAATGGGTACACTTTGCATACAGCTGATTCTTTGGATGCGTTCCACTTCGTTTTTAGACACACACTCTTCCCTAAGCACCTCACCTCGGGGGAATCCCTGTCGCCATTTTGAAGTGTGTTCCACTTCGTGAAGTGAACAAGTGAAGTTTATATGGACAGACCCTCGACCCCTCGATTTTTACAGAGGGAGCGAGTCTACTTGATATGTGCACTTCAGGCAGCTCCATATACCACAATGCAACATGATTGTGACGTCACTGCAGATCACCTTTAATTACCCCCACAAACAACTCTGTTATAGGCAACATTGCGTGCAATATAATAGGCTATAATATATTAATATAATAATTTCTTAATTCCGCCCTTATTTTATCGTTCTTAATTAAAAATACATATTATTATAGGCCTATCCATTTTTGACAATGAGAAATAGATTTAGTTCCCTCAACATATGAAGTCGTGGCCACGTGAAAAATATGTCATTCTCTCAGCATAGAATCTTAAGGCTACAACTTAACATCGTGTGGCCACGGCATAAGGATGACGTTATCTCAAAAAAATGTGTGGCCATGACTTATCACGTTTCCACGAGTTTATATGTCGTGGCCACAACAAAACTAAGTGAACCGAACATGTCCTCTCCCAGTCACCTTACTAAAGTAATTTTCCATCCTTTAATTTGCTGCAGATCTTAGGTGAAAATTTTGTTTTTTCCCTCTACAAAATAGTGGATTACTCAGTAAATCCATGGCATTTAATATTGTGGTTTTGATTTATTCATATCAAGTGTACAGAACTCTAGTGGTGGTATAGTTAAGGTGAGTGTGTTTGTGAATTACTGCGTTGTGATCGCAGAACCTTCGGGAATATTTCAAAATTGTGTGCAAAACAATGCACCTCATGTTTCAGGATGCCAAAACTGGGATTGTCTCCAGAAAACCAGAGACATCTGGTTACCATATTGTGTGCAATATCAGAGACAGTCTTATGGACTATATGTGGTGCATTTGCTTCTCTTTAATTATGTTCTGCTCTCCACACAGTGAAGGTGAGATGTACTCAGAGGAGTTAAGGAATATAGTAAAGTGTGGAATTGCTGCAGCGATAGTAGGGATGGTCTATGGAGGCCTACCAGGAGCCAGACATGCTCGTGAGAGATTTATTCAGCTCAGCCAGGCTTCAATGTACCAGAACAGAGTGGATGCGGTGGTAAGACACAAGACAGGCTGAAAATGTATTCATCTGTTTGTAGCGGAGTCATGTTTTGTTCATACAGATATCTATTCTAATTTCCTATTGTTTTTTAAGGCTTCAATTGCTTTGTTTTACATTTTATATAGCTGAAAATCACATTATTGTATGTGGTTAAAATATGCAAATATTGATGTTCTATATACTTTTTTTTTTGTCTCACCAGCGCTCTGCACATAATGCAGCTATTCGTGGGTTTGTGAGCCTTGGCTCGAGGTGGAGCTGGAGGGTAGCAGCATTTGTGACCCTGTTTAAGTAAGTATAGATATATTGAGTTTTAATTTGTGAATCAGTTAAATTACACTTTTGAATTAACTTGTCTTACTTAGTGTTAATGGTAATGTTTTTGTTTGTTTATTATTTATGAGCATCATTTGCGAGTTTAAACACAGTTTAAAGAAAAGTCTTCAATTTGGCAACAGAAAAACAAGAATCGCAATATTGCTTAAGTTAAATGTGAGCGCTGCATGTTTAGGATGTTGCCACAGACATTGCTCTACCTCACCCATGCAGGTCTTAAAAAGCCTTGAATTTGATTTTAAAAACCATGCAGATACCCTGCTGTCAGTTTCACCAATTATAAGAAACACTTTGTTTATGCTATTCAAATATATATATATATTTTTTTTTTTTTTACACAGCACTGTAAATACTGGCTTGACAGTGTATAGAAACAAAGACGCTCTGAGCCATTTCACTGTTGCAGGTGGTAAGTTCATAAACTTGTTTGTTGTCTCTGGCCTTTAGTAGGTTTTTTGTTAATTTTCATAGAATTTTTGCTTTATACTAAGATGACAAGAATGAATGACAGTGTTTGTGTTTAGCTGCAACAGGAGGATTGTTCAGGCTGAATCTGGGACTTAGAGGGCTGCTGGCTGGTACAGCCATAGGAGCTGTGATGGGGTGAGTAGAACACGGAGAGAAAAAGAGAGAGATAGTGTGTGTGTGTGTTTCCGGTTAGGGTTGTGCCGATAGACAATAGTATCGTGTATAGTCAGAGTTCCCTTTCGAACGGTCACTTCGCAGTGGGGAAATTCCTTTTCCTCGATTTACTGAAGCTTATATGTAAAACGCATTTGCGGCTGCACAGCTAGCACATTGAGCGTCTGGCTAGCTTATAGGCTGTGCTGCGGCAACTGCACATCCAATGGCGCGGGCGCCTCAGACGTGCGACCAACGAGCTAGTCCTACGTCATTACACGTCAGAGCCCGCCAAGAGGGCGTGGCCTTAGCCTATAATAGTCCCCCGAATTCGCCATTATAGCAGATTTTACTCCTTCAGCGACAACTTCATGTCTCTGACTGTTTACTGAGCCTTCGCCGTTTGAACAACCCCTTCAGCCTGAGCGAGCATCATATTCAGCAGACTACGCCTTCTCAGCCGTTTTCTCCTGACGCCGTCTCACCTGTGGCTATCCGGCGACGACGCTATATCCTTTTTAATATTCTACTGTGAGTGTGCGAGGCATTGTTAAAGCAAATGCCTTGCTCATCCTGTGCCACGTGCGGGTGCAAGCTGCACGAGGCCGACGAACACGCGAGCTGCATTTCATGCCTGGGAGTCGACCACGCAGAGAATGCACTCTCTGCCGGCGGATGTTTGGTCTGCGAGAGCATGCCCATCTCCGTGCTGCGAACACGGCTAGCTCTCTCACGAGACGGCGACGCCGCTTCACCCGCGCTTCCCTTTCCGGCCTTACTTCAGCCGAGGAAGAAGAAACGGCGCAGCCTGAGAGCATGGATGCCAGTGAACGCACGCCAGCCACGTCCCCGCGTGCCTCACTTTCTCCAACGCAAACACCTTCACCGGTCCTGTTCGCGGGAGACCAGCGCCCCCCCCCACCCACGTGGTGGGCCTCGTCTCCTTTGGTGGATCCGTCGAGCACGACGACAGCGTCTCTATTGTTGCGTCTGAGGAGGAATGACCGGGCTCTCTCGACCCCGTCACTGCTTCCCAGTCAGCTACCAGGACCAACTCCGACGCGGAAATGCTTCGGATCCTGAGTGGGCCTCGCCCGAGGAACCTCCTCGAAGTCGGCTGGATGGCTGGTTTCTGTCGGGGCGCCAGCAGGCCCCTTGTCACAGGCCTGCGCCATTTTTTCCGGAGGTGCACGAGGAGCTGACTAAGTCGTGGCACGCTCCTTATTCAGCACGTGTGGGATCTTCAGTTTCCGCAACGCTCTCCTCCGTGGACGGTGCGGCGGAAAAGGGCTACGAGTCGTTGCCGCCCCTTGAAGAGGCCGTGGCCGCTCATCTTTGCCCGAACACAGCTGCTCCTGCTGCTTGTTTACCCAAACAAACCCTGCCGAAACACTTCAGCCCTCGCTGGACGCGCTTATTCCGCCTCCGGTCAGGCTTTTTTGGCCCTGCACACGATGGCCGTGCTGCAGGTCTACCACGCCTAACTCCTCCAATCCATGGACGAGGCTAGCCTGGCCCCCGAGGCCTTCCAAGACCTCCGAAGCGCCATGGACATAGCCTTGCGGGCTACCAAGGCTGCTGCGCAGGCTATCGGGAGGAATATGGCGAGTTTGGTCGTGCTAGAGCGCCACCTCTGGCTGAACCTCACCGAGATTAAGGACGCGGACAGAACAAGGTTCCTCGACACCCCTGTATCCAGCTCTGGCCTCTTCGGCCCGGCGGTGAAGGGGTTCTCGGAGAGGTACACCGAAGCGCAGAAGTCGTCCCAAGCTATGCGACACTTCCTGCTGAAACGCTCGAGCTCCGCTTCCAGCAGGCCCAAGCCCGCCCCGCCTTCGCTTCATCCAGCCAAGCCGGCGAAGCAGGTCTCTCAGCCCCGCCCTGCGGCTGATACCCACCGCCAGCCGCGACCAGCGAAGCGCTTCCCGCTGCCCCGGTGCCCCGGTGCCAGGGCCCGCGAACCAGCGTCATGCTTGATGCTGTGCCGCCGAAGTCGTCCGAGCACCAAAGATAAAAAGAGAGGGCTCGTGTCTCGCGCTAGCCGGACCACCCTCGAAAAAACCTGCAAAACTTCCCACAGCTCCCTGTTCAGTTCAGGCGGCTGGGGATTTTATTATTGTAAACAGGCCCACAGCAGTGAGCGCGTCTCTACAAACAAACAGCGTTTTCACGGCGACCCAAATAAAGCACAAAAAGAGTATGTTTTACAATCACAACACATGGGTTCACAGTCCCCCTCCACTAGGTGGCCCCCTGACTTCCCCTCCAGGCAAAAGCTCAAATCACAATATAAGGGTATTAGGTCCCCCTATGTTAGGCGACCCATCCCAATCAGTGTGTCAAACCCTAGCCACACGGGTGCCGGCCTGGCAAGCCATCCCAGATGTGTCGAGTTGGGTCATAAACACTATAAAGCGAGGCTACTCGCTCCAATTTGTTTGCAGACCCCCAAAGTTTCAGGTGGTTATCGAGACTTCGGTGAGAAGGAACGTGGGTCACAGTGCAGAATTTATTAGCAAAAGGGGCGATAGAGCTGATCCCCCCTGCCCTAAAACATTCAGGTTTCTACAGCCGCTATTTTCTAATCCCGAAAAAAGACGGCAGTCTCAGACCCATACTAGATTTGAGACATTTGAACAAGGCTCTCATGAGAAGGCCTTTCAAAATGTTAACTATCAAACACATCCTCGTGCAAGTCAGTACTCCGTATGGGATTACTGCACATGCGCCCGCTGCAGCACTGGCTGAAACGCCGTGTGCCAACCCATGCATGGCAGTCAGGCAGCCTGCGCATCATGGTGAATCATGGTTGTTTAAGAACCCTGATTCCCTGGCAGGCTCAGGGCTGGTACCACAAGGGTGTGACTATGGGAGAAGTTTCCAGGAGGAAAGTGTTTTTTACAGACGCATCCAACCTGGGTTTGGGAGCGCTACACGAGGGCAAGCCTGCCTCCGGCCTCTGGTCGAGCACGGAGCAGAGGTTACATATCAACTGTCTGGAAATGAAAGCAGTTGGTTTGGCCCTGAAAGCATTTCTGTCAAACCTAAAAGATCACCACGTCTTGGTCCGCACGGACAACATGTCAGTGGTATCCTACATAAATCGCCAGGGTGGCATCAGGTCAGGCAACCTGCATGCCATGGCGAAAGACCTCCTCTTATGGGCTCAGACCAATCTGAGCTCTCTGAGAGCAGCACATATCCCTGGCATTCAGAATCTGGGTGCAGATATGCTCTCACGGGGCAATGCTCCCCTAGGCGAGTGGTCCCTGAACTCACAGACGGTCAGTCTGATATGGAGTGTGTTCGGAGAAGCCGAAATCGACCTTTTCGCCTCAAAAACCAACACCCACTGCACAGTGTTCTTCTCGAAGAACAGGGACGCGCTGGCTCATCTCTGGCCCAACCGCCCCCTTTATGCTTTTCCCCCCGTCTGCCCAGTGGATGCCCAGTCCTTCTGGTGGCCCCTCTCTGGAAATACAGGCCGTAGTTTCCGGAGCTGGTTCAGCTATCGGACACAATCCCTTGGCCTGTTCCAATGAGGAAAGACCTCCTCAAACAGGCCAACGGGATAATATGGCATCCTCGACCCGACTTATGGGTCCTCCATGTATGGCCCCTAAACAGGTACCCAGGGACCTTCCTGAGAAGGTCTTAAGCACTATATCTGAAGCCAGGGCTCCGTCTACTCTGCGCCTTTATGCTTTGAAGTGGTCGGGTTTTTCCAGCTGGTGCTTGAAAAATCGTTCTGACCCAGAGTCATGTGAGGTATCTGTGGTACTCTCCTTCCTGCAGGAGCTATTGGATGCGGGCCGCTCCCCGTCCACGTTCAAGGTGTATGTGGCAGCCATTGCAGCGCATCATGCTCTGGTGGCTGGCCAATCACTAGGAAGAAACGACTTGGTGGTACGGTTTCTAAAAGGTGCTAGGAGGATTAATCCCTCCAGACCTCCTTCTGTGCCTCCTTGGGACCTCTCCACGGTCCTTGGGGTTCTGAAGGGTCCGCCCTTTGAACTGCTCCAGTCGGTTGATCTTAAACCTCTCTCGCTAAAGACTGCTCTCCTGTTGGCACTGACATCTATCAAGCGAGTGGGAGATCTGCAGGCTCTCTCAGTGAGCCCTTCATGTTTGGAGTTTGGACCAGATGACTCCAGGGTCATCCTCAAACCCAGGCATGGTTATGTACCCAAAGTGCTCTCAATGCCATTCAGAGCACAGGTTATTACGTTATTAGCCGAGGATGAGGAGGTTAATCTTCTCTGCCCTGTCAGAGCGCTGAGAATATATCTGGAGCGTTCTGCGTCTTTTAGAGAATCAGAACAGCTTTTTGTCTGCTTTGGTGGCCGATCTAAGGGTGATCCAGTCATTAGCAAAGACTGTCTAGATGGATATTGGATGCCATTTCTATGGCTTATACCTCAGTGGGTCAGGTTTGCCCCATAGGTATCAAGGCCCATTCGACCAGAGGCATGGCTTTGTCATGGGCTTGGTCATCTGGCTTTCCCATTCAAAATATTTGTGATGTGGCCGGCTGGTCCTCGCCTTCCATATTTATGAAGTTTTATAATATGGAGGTGCCTTCCCTGCAGGCGAAGGTGCTTTCGGTATGATTAAGGTCCGACGGTGTCTGGTCATGTCTAAAAATGTGAAAAAGGGAACTACTCGATTACTATCGTAACCTCAGTTCCCTGAGAGAGGGAACGAGTATTGCGTAGCCGGCCGCACTATAGTAACCTGGCGAGTTGTCGCTTCAGTCGTTAAACCTGCTATAATGGCGAATTCGGGGGACTATTATAGGCCAAGGCCACGCCCTCTTGGCGGGCTCTGACGTGTAATGACATGGGACTAGCTCATTAGTCGCACGTATGAGGTGCCCGCGCCATTGGATGTGCAGTTGCCGCAGGCTCGCAGCACAGCCTATGAGCGAGCCAGACGCTCAATGTGCTAGCTGTGCAGCTGTAAATGTGTTTTACATATAAGCT